AATTATCTTTGTATACATTTTAATAAAAGTATAGGGCTGAGTAGAGTTTCAGTCAGTCTGTTATTATACGAGTGAACAACAAAGTCTGACAATCGCGAACCTGGAGTAGCAGATGTTAATCACAAACAGAATATGCGATCCAGTTTCCTGTTACCAATTCATGAAGACTAGCAAATGCTCATCGGCTACACTCATTCAAAACTGACAATTTAACAACAATATACCATCTTTGAATGAACTTGACACTTGCAAATGAGGCGAAATATGCTAAACATGATGTGTAGACTGCCCTTTACACATTTTTGACGACGTGCAAACCGTCCTATCGCTGTTTGTGCTCGAGTCGGGATGCTGATGATCAAACAACTTCCTCAAATTTGTTACAGCTTTGATTACACACAGAATGCGAGGACACAATTGCGTTACCACTTAACTTAACTCGAACAAATAAGAAACAAAGGATCGACATCATGGAAAAATCAACGGATACTTGAAAAGGTAATTTAGAATTATCAAACTGAGTTGATAAACACACAAACAACCCACAATTCCTCCAATCGCTCTGGCGAGTGGTTAACGCCCGAAACGTCAGCATTTAAACTTTTTACAGTGGCCGATTTACGTTATCAACTTAGTTGATAATGCTGAATTACCCTGTTATACTCTACCTACTTGAAAGATCTGGTTCCAGTTGTCAGGGTTGGATAACGAGATCCCGCAGTCGGTAAAAATCCCGGTGGATGGTGCAGTACGTTTTGCTATCGCTTTTCTGCTGGAAAGCAATTTATCAGTTGCATTCATATCTAGACCCAAAACGTTAACAATTCACGTAAATAGATTGGCATGATGATCTGGCGAGGTGTTACCGTTCTGTATGTGACAAAATCTTGTCCGCTCTAGGAACCAATTAGATTGCAGGATTTATCGCTCTACGCGTGCTTTATTGGAAAAAAATATTGCTAATGTATTTAGCCTCTCTGTATGAATTTTACGTTCCTTTTTGGTCAGAAAACTAAATTCGATGATAATTGACCACCACGCTGACTCAACATTCGTTGAACAGGAAAACTGTGATTTTCCAGGGTTGTTTTGACACAGAAAGAAATGCTCCCCTAGCTTCATTTGGATAATATTGCTCTCCTTTTTAGATTAATAACAACTCTCAAATGGAAATGATGCAAACTTTACATCTCAATTCCGTTGTGAAACTCATCGGATTGTGCGAGTTAACCCTTTAACTCCCATAAGTGACCAAGACAGAATTTCTCGTTACAATATCAATACGATATCAACTAGATAAGTGATGAGAATAAAGAAAAATATTAATTTGGGAATAATTAGTTGATCCAATACTAAATTATTTGAACTAACATTACAAGAATTGTACGGTTGACTGAAAAGAGAGTTACAAATTTGATCTGGGAGTTAAAAGGGTTAAGGAAGAGATGCCCCAGGAATACCATTCTATCAGTTTCTCTAGGGTTTAAGTTGAAGGAAAACAAGTTAGAAACTTCGCAACAAATTTCTAACCATCAGCGTGACAGACAGTACTAATTTTCGTGATCAATTATCAACTACTCGCAGTCGTCTACTGTAGACGTTTTGAGGTATGCCATTTAGATATCTTTTTGAACTAGGCGGGAGAGGTGACTCCTTTGTTCTCCTGTATGCGCCGTTGTCGAGACACCACTGCCAGTATGACAACAACAATAGAAGCGCCTCGCAAAGTTTTCTCAGCTTAGCATGAGGACAGTGATAGTAGCTAACAAAGGGATGGCCATAACAGGCTTCTAGTGGGTTACTATTGAGTAATTTGCCACGAGTGTGAAAGCTTTGTTGTTTATGTTGTTAAGAGTTGAACTATGTATTGTCTTGTGGAAGTTTTTGTTTGTAATTTCACTGAATAGTATCAGCCTAGGACCTCATACGCAGAGGGGTCTCTTTGAACGGAGCCACAAGACCTCTCTCCTTCTTTCAGGCTTTAACGTTGTGTTTTACCGTTTATACTGAGGGTGCAAACGTCACCTCGCCCACGCCTGCATCAGTATCAACAAAAAAACAACAAAAGTGGTGACGGTTACGACCCCATCAGTAACCAATTTAAGTTCAGAACCTGCTTCAAAGACCATCCATGTAAGCTCTACTAAAGTGTATGCGTTAAGGCCACGAGATCCTTCTCCATCCAATTCCCTTACCACATACACAATACCCCCCCCCTCCCCTTTACGAAAGCCCGACAATGGTAATCAAGTATGTTCCTCAGTGAATGAAGAAGAATTTTTTTTCCATAGACCCCCAAATAAAAGTCATGTTGCACACCCCCACGGTCAGGAACAGCCTTTGGGTACTCATACTTTGCCAGATGAAGCCCATTTGAGGGTTCATGACGTTGTGTATCAAGTCCTCGAAAAAAATTCTGCGTCTAATTTTTGTGAGAGTCGAGTGCATCTCTGAGGCAATTCATGCTCCAATTGAATCAGAGCGTGATCACTTGTAACAAAGTGGAGAAATGTGTGAGAAGCTAGGAAAAGTTACGGCCCTCTGTAGAGTGTTATTTAAAGATGAAAATGAGAAATAGCTAGCCAACTTAGGAGGGCATGGGCTATAGAACATTGAACCTGAGAAAAAACAGAAAATTGTGAAATATTTGTTTTATCGCTGAAAACCAAAACCACGAGTTAATGATCTTTCCTACAATCTGTTTTCAGTAGAACTTCGTAAGGAGCGACATAATCGTAATGTATTATAACTAATGTCAAGTCGGGTACATGTAGATCAGTATTTTGACGTACTTAGCATTATGTTAGTCGTTTTTGATGTGCTTCGTAGTTTCATTTCGGAAAAACACCATTTGATACCAGAAACCCTATCGTCTAATTTTCTGACTGGTGTTCTCGGTTTGGAAGACAAAGGAAAAAGTTGCAGCAACTGTTATAAAGAACAGAAATGTAGTTCTTGCGATGGAGCATAAAAGAAAGGAATGAACGACCGCTGTCTTTTGACCATAGAAAAACATATTTGCTGGTCTTCATCCCAATTCCTTTCACTTTGTCCCTTTCCTCAATGGAAAGCGAATCCTTTAACACGCCACCGTAAGGTTCTGCAAGTAATTAATGCCGTGACGATTGATCTGCGCATAGTTAGACGATTATTTCACATACATTTGAATTAAGAGCTCAATAGCACATGACGTAATGAAGAACTTCACCACAAAATCCACAAAGTCACTCTAAATCTTTTACTACATTTTGTACTCTCACAGGTATCAAAATACAAAGCTAAAAATATCAGAAATTGCTTTGTCCATTCTCGCCAAGTAACATCACCTCCTATGATAAAATACAAAATAAAACGATTAAAAAACAAACAAGAGAAGAGAAAACGCATTAAAAAAAGTTATTTCAAAATTCAGTTATATGGCGATCGAAAGAAACAATATGTCTCAATATTTTCAATCGCCTAAGAGTTGCAGAAGATGTTGGTTTTCTATAATGACGATGTTCTCAATGCCTTAATTGTAATTATGTCATAGTCACTCGGGAAACTGAGATGATCTGAAAGATTATAAGGAGCCAGACTTTATTGAGGGTAGGAAAGATTAGTTGCCTTGTTTCTTGAGGCAAAAGGAATGAAATAAGCCAAAAATGTTGAAAATATAACCTCTTTACCCCTAGCTACAAGTAAACTACAGCCACGAAGTAATTTAGAATTATCAACTGAGTTGATAACGTAAATTGACTATCGTAAAGAGTTTCAAAGCTGACATTTCGAGCCAACAGAGAGAAGAGAATCGGCTAAATTTTTATTCCCATTAAAAAAGTTAATACTCACATCATTCTGATATGCTCCAGAGAATGCGGCTTTTCCAGAGTCCTTGTTTACTTGTTCTTCTGATTCCTGTTTGGTAAAACCAAGAGATTAAGACAACTTGCTGACAAGCTGATTGACAAACTGATTGAATGAAAGACCACCTGACCGACTGCCAGCCTGATTGAGTCATTGACTGACTGAATGACCAGGAGACCGACCGACTCACTCGCTGACTAACTGATTGTTAAGTTATGATTGATCAATATTCCAGCATCTTGGTGATTTTTCTTTTCGTTGATGGAGGCGTGCCTTGAGAGCCAACTGACCAGCCGAGTAACCATCTGGCACACTACATGTAGCTGGACGATTTACTGACTGATTGATTTGTTTGCTGGATGCCTGCCTTTCAGGCTGTTTAAATGAAAAACTAATTGATTGACTGACTGAGTGAATAGCTGACACATTGTCTGTCTGACTATCAAATTCACACATACCTGCGTGAGTGAAGCACTGAACAACTGGCTAACCAGTTGACTGCTTGCCAGACTGTCAAGCCCAAAAATTTACTGCCTGGCCAGCTGCGTGCCTGCCTGACTGACTGAACTACTGACTAACTGGTCTCCACAAACAAGCTAAATGTGATTGGTTGATACATGAAAATGTAGATCAACTGCCTTCCTGCCTGCCTAACTGATTGACTGGTCTCCACAACCTAGCTACATGTCATTGATTGAACATGAAAAAGTCGATCAACTATTAAATTAAGGAGTATGGACATTAACGGAAATCGCTTCCAAATAAACGCACGTGCATTTAGAAAAAAGCACCCACAAAATGCGAATATGCGTCATGAACCTTTCCCACTCTAAACTTCGCTTGAAGATTCACATCTGTTACAATTGCTTTTGTTGCCTAACAAGGAGATTCATTTACATGTACCTCCATTTGGACTGCAGCGACACTGTCATGTTTAGTATACCCAATCTCTACTTTGCTAGATTTTGTTTTCCTATGATAGACACGAGTTCTTGCGGCAGCATTTGTTTCTCCACCTGAGGAAGAGTTGCCCACATCAAATCCTAGTTTTCCAGCAATATTAAATCTGTTGTGATGCTCAAGTAAGTTTGTGCTTCCAAAGTTCTTAACCCCAAATAAAGAAAGTTCGTGAGACTTTTGGAGGCTTCCGTCTTCTACATGAGTGTCGTTAAAAACATCACTTTTGCGCTTAAAACAGGAGCTTTTGTTGTACACGAATCTCGCCGAAGGTCTTTCGAACTCATTAGTAGGACAAGTAATATTAGTTCCTGCTGGCAAATAATCCTTCTCATTACACTTTTTTTTTTTTTTTCTGAAAATTTTCCCAAAGAAAGATTTGTCGGAGTCAGGAGAGTAGACATGAGCCTGTCCGAGACTTGTTTACGTTCTTCTTCAATATCATCAGTGCATGTATTTCCTTTAAAAACGGCACACGTCTCGTTCTGTTGGTGAATTGATTTAGGGTATCCTGTGGCAAGAGGACCTTCCATGGCATAACTAAAATTTTCTAGAAGCAACTGGTCTTCCTGACGAGATTTCTCATTAATTGTCACCTTTTCTCTTTGAGAACAATGTAAATTTCCAGTCCTCAGAGATGTTGCATTCTCCTGTTTGCTCTGAAAGTGTTTTGATGAAGAAGCAGTTACAGTAGTTCCCTTCTTTAAGAGTTCAGTTCCAGAAAAATGCTGCCTTTTAACTTCCTCGTCAACGTATGGTTTGAAGTTATACTCAGTAGGAAACGAAATGTCTGCGCAGCTTCCAGCATCTGGAAATAACGTAACAGAGGTATTTTATTATATTTTGATTGATAAAGGTTTCCCAATACCTTAATCAAACTTGAAATTAACTGCCCTACACCTTCCAGGGAGATGTTGGATGAAAACAAGTCTTGCTTCATTCAAGTTTTGCATCGTGAGCGAGCGCATTTAAAAGTTCCAGGTTAGTCACTGGTTTGAAATGAACTTCTGATCAAAAAGTTACCAATGTTTCTGTCACGTTTGAATGAAATTAGTGGAGGTTGCGAAAAGATCGTACCAGTCTCTGAATCGTTTTGAAGTAATTGAAAGTTTTTAAGAATGATAGATTCAACTGCGTGGTTGTGAGGGTGAAATGTGAGAGTGAATGGAATGCGATCGGCATTTTCCTTCTGAACCGTTTGTAGTGCTGAATGTCCATCAATTTGTTGGGCACGGCGGTGGCCCGCTTGAACGACAGAAACAGGATAGCCACGTTTATCGAAAAACTAGCACGTTGCCTCTGATTTTTCAGAAAAATCAGAGTCGTCACTACATAAACGACGAAGTCTGAGAAACTGTAAAAAAGGTGATTCCTATGTGAAAGGTAAATTTCTTTGTCAGAAGTTCGTTTCATGGCGACGGCATAGGGCCAATTTGCATTTATGCAGTTCAATGGAAGGCAAGAACAAACCTGTTTTCTTATCTCCTTGTTGAGGCAATAAATTTGCAAAGGAACACTCTGGCATAAAAATGGATGCGCAGCAGCTTGATAAGGTGTAAGTCTTTCACCTGAGATCGTGATACAAAGCAAAGAACAAAGGTTGGTTTTTGTTTTTCACGTGTCAGTGCGTTTGGCATTGTTTTGCAGGATAACGACTGTAACAAACAAAGTGTTTCAAGTAAAAGTTACACAAACTATGATAATTCCGTATACTTACCTGGTTTATACTTCAGCAAGCCAACTAAGAAACGTGCAAAAGAGAAATTCCTTGAATTATGGAGCTTTAACATCACATTACTCACACATTTCAGGTGATTGTCCTCTAAAAGCAATGAAAAAAAAGTCTTAAGTGAGTAAAGAGCCTACATGTGTTGATTCCTACAGTATTTTCTATGTGGGATTTTTTTTCCCATGAAAATTTATTGTATTTATGGACGTTTTTGTTGATTCATTTTTTGGGAGCAGAAATAATAGTTGGAAAGGTGAATGAAAGGATACTTTTTTTTCTGGACATCTCATTGTGCATGATGTTTTTTTTCAGAGAATCTTTTCCCACGTATGAATTATTTTTAATTTTCACTTGAACCACCTCTAAGCATCGCTCTCTTTCCACTGGTTCCTCCCTCATACAAAGGATAAGTCGTCTTTTGCTATTTTGCTGATGTATCTTAACCCTTTACTCCATAACATCAGTATGCATATTCTCCATACTACTCTCTAGACATTTCCTAAGGCTCTGACAAGGAGAATTTGTTAAAAAATCAAGAGCTTCTTTAGTGGGCGATCATCTCCCTTATTCTCATGACCTTGATGTTTGATTCAGGGACGATGTTGTGTGGAGAAATTGGATGTTAGTCACTCTTAGGAGTTAAAGGGTTAAATCAATTGTTTATTTAAGTTGTGTACCTGGATTTATGAAATAGTTGCAGAGACTATTTAAATGATGTTGAGGACTAAGTAAGGATTACCAAAAAAGTTTGAGATAACTTGATTACATTTGAATCATCTTAAACTTGAATTTACCTGATTTGTGGTGACCTATAAACTGTGACAAATCTTCAAAATATTTTCCAGTATGGAATGGACTCCGAGGTATGGGACCAAGAATACTGGTTACCTGCAACCAAGCATGAAAAGTAGTTACCTTAGGTCATAAACAGCTTGTAAAAGTGCCACTAATAAAAAAAACCAAAACAAAAACATACCTCTTGCAACACTTTAGTCCTATTTCCTCCCAGAAATAAAGGTTTGCCTATATACAACTGAAACCAATGTTCATATTAAAAGGACATTATTTCATTTCCTCACCAATAACATTAATGGCTGGGTGAGTTCTCCTCCCCCCTTACGGAGAAATATCCATCATAAAACTGTCAAGCATCATCTGTTATTAGCTCTGACTGATGGTCTAATAATCATTAACGATATTTTAATTATGGTGAGAACATACAAGTCAATTAACCAACCTCAGCTACAATGCATCCCAAAGACCAAATGTCAATCTCAGGGCCAAAGGGAACACCAAACATCACCTGGAAAGAATTGACACAGTGCTTTCAGTTTCAACTGACTGCCATCAACATTATCAAGTGGAGGACACTGTACCTCATTGCATTATTAAACAACATTTAGTGGGACCTTCTTCCACAGACTGAACTTTAAAATTCAAGTGTCCAACAACCACTTAAAAACAGCCCTAATATGTACATCCCCCATCTATTTGCACCTGAGATACAATCATGGTAAAATAATTGTGTGAATTTAAATATGTTTTCTGATACATTGCTTGAGATGATAGTCACCACAGAACAGAATTTTCCATCTGCAACAGGCCAACCACATTAAGTTGTTTTATGAAACACAAAACTGCAGAACTTTACTGATCATCTTTCATAGAGTACTTCAGTTCATGCAAGTCCAAATAAAATAGTTTAATCTCGCTTTATTTCCCTTGGATTGATTAGGAAAACACTGGAGTTGCATGCATGTAACCTACATGTAAAATTAATTTTGTCTCCCAATTCATGAAAACAGCAATATCTTTACTAATTACCTCAGGAGCTCTGTAAAGTAAAGTTTGTATTTCAAACTCATCATAATACAAGGAAACCTGACAGAATTAAACAGAAGAAAATAAGAATTAAATTAAATATTTTGAATAATTATCATATGTCATTACTAATGGTGGCTGACAGAGCTCCAAGCTCATTTTTCCAAAGAGTTGCCTTTTGGCAACCTTCAAATTTAAAATGGTCACCATTTAAAAATTTTTGGCTGCCTCTTTTTTCTTTTTTCTTATCTGTTAGTCACCAATTAACTAAAATGTTAAAATGACTAAAATGTTGGCAAAAGTCACCAAATATATTTTCACTTGTCATGGTGATCAAAATGGCATAGATGGCAGTATAGAGAATATGCATATTGATGTTAGGGTGTAAAGGGTTCATAAAGTCTGCAGTACAACAATTCTGATGCATCTAGCTGCACACATTTAAAATTAAGTCACTAAAATCACCAAATAATAGAAATTACATGTACCTCTCTATGAACCCAGTGAATTGCATTTCCAAAGTCAACAACTTTTATCTTGGTTTCGTCACCTACAGTGTGTTAATATAATAAACAATTTTAGTACACACCAAACAAGTAAATAGTGCTTTTTGCATGTGCTGATTGGCTGGTTCCATTCAGTGAATACTAAGTACTATTCACCTCCATGCAGCCTGTGAGACAAAATCACATTGTAAGAGTTTGATTTCTGACCAGTTTTTGGTATATTGAAAGAAATAAACTAATTTTTGGTATCTATGTGGTATATACTAACAAATTTATTCACTTCTGTCAGTGTCAGTGAAAGTGGTGGATATTCACCAAGCTGCGAAGCAGTGAGGTAAATATCCACCACTGTTCACCTTCGGGTCTGTGACTAAAATTGTTAAGTGTACAAAAAGTTGTTTTATTACAGTGTATTAACAACCAGATCTCTCAATGGAGGTTGGCTGTCAGAAATGTAAAAAAGGTTACGTCCATAAAAGGTTTAGTCCATAAATTCCAAACCTACTGCTCCCATGCATCAAAATGTTTGCAACTAAGACATGGGGCCCTATACAAGGCATCCAGTCACCATCATGATGACAGAAACAAAAATGGGATGGTATATTCATGATGTTTTTTGTTAGGCAAATAATTGTAGCTGATATGAACTCTGAGTATTCATCAAAGTTAAGTCTTTCACTGACCACTGTATAGCGTATCTTCAGAATCTGTATAAAATGTTGGTCTGTTTTTCTTACAAAATGCTATGTACAGCTGTTATTTATATTTAACCAGATCAAAATATTACAACTATCTTTAAAAAGGAAGACTTTTTAAGTCCATTAAGTTAAATTAAATTTTTTGACAATTTCTTGCAAACACCCCACTTCACCTTCTTCAAAAAGAATGTTCTCTGGTTTCAAGTCAGCATGGATGACATTCTGTCTGTGGATTCATATGGAAAGTTGAATGAGATCAAAGCACATAAAATCCTGAAATCAGTCCCTCCTCTCAAATGATCACTCCCCTTTGAAAAAGATCCCCTTTTATTTGCCAAAATGCAGAATAAACATCCCACTTCCAACCTGCAACAACATGGTGGCATCACCAAAAGATGGGCAAGAGAAGATTCCCTTAACAATGAAATAAAATGAAGCCACTTGTGGGTACAGATGAGTAATTCTAGAGAGTCTAAGAAGAACACCTATTGATAATCTTACCTCCTTAAGAATCCAAGAGCTTGTAAGAGCTACAAGCAAATAACCACATCAATTTATTATATAAAAAAAAGTATTATTTTGATTTCAATAAATTTGACGCATAACAAGTTTCATCTTCATTAAAGCTAACTTTATGGTCTTAACTAAACTATATGGTCTAACTAAATGGTCTTTGTAAGTTCTTATAACTGACAAAAGAAAACTGATGCAATTGTATTTGAAATAAATTAAATCAAAAGTATTTATAAGAATTTAAAAAAAGGTTTGCTCACTTGAAAAGTTATTTTCCTGATGACTTTCAGTTTGTCATCCTGTTAGTAAACAAAATCAAGAAAACACTGTTGAGTGACTGATATTACAGAATGCACATGGTTAGATGATGATCTTGCCAAAAATATGTATATTAAATCAATCATGTTGTTAACAAAGATGACAATCAATTTAACAATGAAAACATACAATGCACAGATGGTAATACATTAAACACTCTTACCTCGTTATCAAACTGACATTTCTGTAAAGAAGATGATTTAAAATATAATACTTACATCAGTAGAGATACAACTACAAAGTACAACAATTGATTTAAAGGGAAAGCTCAATGGATTCCTTAACAGCATGTTTATAATTCAATAAAGCCAGTAAATTTCTAAAGCAAACTGTGGCACTGTATCAGTGGGAGAGTATAACAAGGTAATTTGGTATTATTAACTGAACTGATAACATAAATTAGCCACCATAAAGAGTTTCAAAGCTGACATTTCGAATGTTAGCCCTTCACCATTCCCTTTGACAGAGGGCTAATGCTTGAAACATTAGCTTTGAAACTCTTAACAGAGGCCAATTTACGTTACCAACTCAGTTGATAATACTAAATTAAACTGTTTATAATTTAACCAACCTGAAAGTATTGATGGAGTGGCCGAGGTCTCAACAGCTCAAAAACCAAGCAGTAATGGCCCTCAAAACTGAAAACATTCTAAAAATCCACAAGCAAATATGTCAAATTGGCAAAAATGCAAGGTCAGTGAACTGTGGTCCTCTAGATAGAATACATTCTTGTACTCATGTACCAAATATATCGGTGCTATGTTACAATTATTGTAAAACAAAGAACCAATTGGAAATCATAATATTAAGACTGCGGTGTTTTACAAGAAAAGCTGTAACTGCATACAAGTAAATTACAATTATAATTTTTCATGCATGTTTGATACTGCCAACTAAGTGTTGACATGCAAAAAACCTAGTTTGCACCACTCTGTCAAGTTGATGGATGAAAGGCAAAGCATTCACCATTCTCAATCCAAGATAATTGGTCGAATTGCCTTGTCAGTTAAGGCCAGTGGTGTTTAATACTGTTGAGTAATTACATCATTTTTGTCCTTCAGTAGGGTCAGTTTCTTCTCTTTTCATGATTTTCATATGGTATCAAAAAGGTGGAGTGATACTTACAGTGTCTGTATAAAATCAGTCCTATTTAACAACATACAGATATTTCGTTTCATGTGATTCAGTACTCAAAAGGGATCGTACATTCATGACTTACAAACAACTGGACAGTTCTGGAAACATGGAGAGGATCAGCCTTGTTGAGCTGTTGAATGCAATCTGCCTCCTACAACAGTTTTTTAAATAAAAAGTAAACTCATGTAATACAAAGTGGATAGTAAGTTAATCTAATTTACCTTGTAAGAAATTAGCCCAAAGATATTTGCATGTACATGCACTCTTCATCTTGAACAATTTCCACTGACAATGTACACTTCATGTCAAGGTACACATGCTTGCATGCAAGCTCTTTTCAGCAGTTACAGTTTCAGTAGCACTCTCAGCTCTGCAAATAACAGATTCATTTGTAGCTTGCTTGTCTGAAATGTACCTTATCACTTACAGCTGCATGCATATTAAACTCTATAGACAGATACAGTGTACCTGAGCTCCAAGTCTGGAATAATCCAAATTCAATATTTTTATAGCAACTTGCTTCTTTTCAAAATGGTATGTATCCTTTACAAAGAAAATTACATGAATGTTAGCTTTGATAAATATACAAGCATACTGAGTGAACTGAACAGTTTTTATCCAATCACAAAATAAGTTTCATCACAAAATATTGTCTGTAATAGAAGCTGAGATTGGAATTAAGCAACACAGCCCCTTGGGTTTCAAATGTTTTGGTCTGTTTCTAGAAAGAATATGGGCCTTTGCAGCTGTGGAAGAGGTTATCTTAATTGAAACATATGATACACCTCTGAATTGCATTTCAAACACCTTTGAATGTCTTTTCCCATTTAACTCCTTAGATCAGATTGTTAATTCTCCCCTCTAGTTGCTGCATCTTTTCTATTAAACTATTACTAGAATTTGGTGTTAGATCGAGACAACAACTTCTTCCTGATCAGTTTGAGTATCTCATTACCTGTTTGCTATATAATGTAAAGATATTGAAGGGAGAAGTTACTTTTTGATCATTTCTAGGAGTTGAAGGGTTAAGAGGCAAGTTTTTAACCATATGCTGAAAGTAATTAATAGGTTCTTCAAAAATGATGTTTTACAACACTTTGGAAAAAAAAATTCATATAAATGTAGGTATAAAGTTGACAGGTATAACAGGAGGTACTGGTATTTTCCAGAGACAGTTACAGTAATTAAAAACCATAATTTCCAGTCTGTATGTGTATTTTGTATGCCTTACCTCTGCTGAAATCAAGAGCGATGATTCCCCTTCACCAATAACTTGAATAAATTTGTATCTTCCAGCAAGTAATGGAACTACCAGAAAGAAAATTATAAAGAAGAAATCAATAGCAATTAAAATTGAAAAAAAATGTATTCATTTGATACATTTTGCCATAACAATTTATTTTTGTATCATATTATTTTCTTTAGTTCAAGCTATACATACTTAAAAACCTTTTTAATTCACTGTTTTTAGATTTTGAATTCAAGCTTTACAGAAACTGATGCTTTTATATAGTGATTGGAAATCTTCAGTGTAATTGATGCAGCTACTGAACTGAAACAGAGAAGTTACCTGGATAACAAGGCTTGAATTTGCCATCTTTGCCAGTCTGTGATGCTAGTACTGGAGCAAAAAAAGAAAAAAAATTAAATAAAAATGTCAACACAGCTAGTCTGTGTACACATTCTGGTTCTCCCATGTTGATTTTTACATAAAGCAAATCAAAACTAGGCTGCAGAGTCATGGGCTGATGTGCAATAATATATCAACTGTCCTCATGATCAAAATAAAAAAAAAAAAAAAATCTATCATCCACTTATTCTTTGGGATTAGATTGAAACATGACTTGTCTGGCGTCTGTACAGTATGCAAGAAAAATTCCACACTTGATTTCCCCCATAATGGAAAAGATTTTTCCTAGTCTTCTATTGAGAGGTTTGACTTATTTGCACATTCAAATACTTTTTTTATTGTTTGCCTCTTTTCAAATAAGTGTAAAGAGTTGTACAAGTAATATGTACCAAAATACACCCAGTAAATGAATCAGCCGATGATGAGTCTCCCTGTTAACTCAATAGATCTTAGGAGAATGGCAGTGAAATTGGCAGCACAGTAGAATCATACTAAACCTTTTGGTATTGTAGCCGCTCTGAGCAGTAGAGTTTCTTCCTTACACAAGCCTTGTTTTTTTCTTCAAGCTTTTGATATAGCACCCTGAGTCCCCCTGACAGGTGGGTACTAATAAATCTCTCAGGTGGTTTAATATATCCTCTGTAATAGCTGCCAGTTCCCCTGAAATTCAGAATAAATAAAGTAATTATCTATCCCAGTTTGTTCTTAACATAAAGCACATAAATTATGTGCAAAAGTAAGGGCAGAAAATTATTTTTTCTTGTATTTGACTCAGCATTTAAATTATTCCAATTGTGTGTGGCACTATGGGTTGCGAATGTAGTATGTGTGAATCTAGAAGAACTGAACTGTGAATGTGTGAATGCATGATGGCATTTATTTATGCATAGAGTAGTTACCATCATTATACTCAAAGGGTTTTGCTCTTGAGGCATGTTTCAATTTGCACAACCAGTGCATGCAGACTTCAGGTTTCAAGTACTAGACAAGTAGGTATTATCCATAGTACCAGGTATGCAGAGCGGACGAGATGTGAAGTTTTGAGGTAAAATAAATTTGATGCACATTTAATAAGTGTACCTAATCTATTAAATTCCTTCCCTGTCCCCAGCCTGTCAATTGACCTGTGTACAAACTCTGTTCTAAGTTCCCTTTTGTCACAAGTTTGACATCCACATGAGCTTTTCATTAACCCTCTGCATTTTAAACCACACTAGGTTTATTACTGCAATACTCTACAACTATACAACAGAAGGCACGAGCCGTCATAGACTGCCTTTCAAGCGGAAGCCTTAGATGAACCCCATCAAAGCTTGCGGTTCCGAAGTCAAACTTCTCATCCTTGATATACAACAGTGATACTGAAGAATTCATCATCTCTATGACTGCTGCAGTAATCTTTCGATGTCATGTTATCCTTAATTCTTGTGAGACACGGATCCTTTTGGATTGTGGAGATTTCGAAAAACTCCATACTCATGATTCTTGGATAAAGCTGTGGTGTTAAAGGCAATCTATTGTTTTCGCTATTGTTTTCTTTATCCAAGTATAAAGCTATGCGGAAATCTTCCCATATTCTCTTTCTACAGTTCAAAAGCTCGACTTCTTAACCAAAAGGAATTGGGGGCGGAAGTCAAATTGCCGAGTGTCAGAGAAACTTACAAACTAAGTCAAACATCGATCCCCGAGGGAGAGTCGCATACCTTTAGACGGCAATTGGCGCAAAAGCTCCATCCAAACTCGACATTTCAGCTACGGAAAACTCTCCTCAGAATTAAACGGTCCTCTTTAGTCGACGAGAGTACAACTGATTGACCGATCGCCCGATCGACGAGAAAATTGTGGCGCAAAATTTCAAAACAATCTAAAATTAGCAAAGGCGCCATTTCCCCATGATAGTAGTTACCAGACCACCTCAATTTTAAAATTTAAACGGGTATATAGTGTTTTGTCGCAGTCGCGTCGGAGCTTGAAAGGAAAGTCTTTTTGGAAATCAAATGCCTCTAATTTCATATATGCCAACTTTCTCGGATTATCTCGGTGTCTCCCTTATACAGAGTCAATCTCTTGCTCTTCCCTACGGGTGACCAAAACTCCCGGATCAAAGGAAGTTTGGATCAGTTACCCGCAAAAAACTAAGATTTAAGCTCCATATGTTCCAAAATTCTAAAATCATCTGGCTTCTTATGCTTGTATTACGGTTTCTGGCTTCACTTTCTTGCGCGATGCACGTTATTTGTTGCGAATAAAAAGAAGAAAATATCTTTTTTGTTACTCCTGGAAAGGGGGGGGGGGGGTGGTAGGGCGAGACAGACGCTTCCCGCACCACGTTCTCCCGCCTCCCGTACTTTTGTGCCCCTTTACCTCCCGACTCCCACCCTTCATAGTATCGCTTCAGTGTTCAGCTTAATCAAGAGGATCAGACACCCGGGTGTAACTTTCAAACTGTGCCAAAACTTAACATTCTTGTTCATTTTCTGGTTCATGTTTTTGTAAATTGGGTCCCGATGGAAGTTATTACAGGTCAGTTTTCTTAATTAAACTAGGTTTCACTAACCTGGTTATCACAGTTTGACCATCGCTTCTGACATCTCGTTATAGAGACGAAAGTCTCAGTCCACTGTGTAATGTAATAACTATTGCAAAATTTTCTTCTAAGCATTGGTGGATGTTAAATGGAAATTTCAAAACTTTGCTAGATGAGTGTTTTTGACTGAATAATACCAAGTAATAAAGAACAAACTATTGCTTTCTTTATTTCTGCTCCCGCTTCCCACCCTCATATAGATCCCGCTTCCCGCCCCCTGTTCTCCCGCTTCCTGCCCTCTTCCGTCCCCTCTTCTCCCGGGCTCCCGCTCCCCTGTCCCCTTCCTTTATATAAGCGAGAGTCTGATTGGATGAGTATTCAACCAATTGAAGACCCTGACAGATATATCCACGTTTTTCCCGCAAAATTGCTTGTAGGGGTCCAAATCAAAAATGAAATTACCCGGAGGGGGCCGCATTGGCGAATTCGGTCGGGAGGGGTGCTAGTCTGAAAAAAAAATCTCCAGATTTGAGTTGGCATCTCTGTAATTTAGTTGTGCAAGAGGAAGCCTTCCTAAAAAGGTTTGTGAAAGGTCATATTTCTCACATACATTGTATTTATCAAAATATTTTACCTTATAACTATAGCCTGGGTAAGAGCTCAAACCATAGCCACCCATCATTTACTAATCAAGGTCAAACAAGAGTGTCCCTTTGACACTTAATAAAAAAAACAACAACAACACTATTATCCATATAATTTAAAATAATCAATTTTCTTGCACCACTAAATACACCTATTAAAGACACTGACCCACTGACTAAAATACCAAATACAATTTTCTACTTAAATCATTTTTATCCTCCCTGTTTTACCATTACCTATGCTATGGAAAGTTATAGAAAGTTTTGTTTTTATTGAGAATTGAAATTTAATCATTTGTCCCAAGATGTAAGAGTCAAGCAAATCAACTGTGTATTGATTGTGATGTTGCAACTGCTATGCTTCGTCAGGTGAGTAAGTTGAAAGTTGATGTGTGGCTATTTGTAACACCTTGTTATTGTTAGTGTTTTGGTGCGCTGTCATTGATGCATTTTGATCCTCATTATTATTCTGAGAACTGGAAGTTGTTCCTTAATAGGTTCACTTTGTTATCGGCTACCATGCTTTTTGATAGTAAGGCATCCACACGTAAGGAATTTCAATTCAGTTATCTCCATTGATGTTATTAGGATTAAATTTAATGTGGTTGGCTTCTTTAACCCTTCATGTGTTACAAGGAGAGTCATGGTCAATATACCGCCGTAATTCTCGGTGGGCTCACTCCAGTTCTCCAGCCCCTGGATAAGTGCATCAGTAAGCCATTCAAAGCAAAGGTCCGTGCGTAGTACGAATCCTGGATGGTTAACGGTCCATTTACCTACACGCCTTCCGGAAAGAAGCGAGCGCCCAGTAAAGAGATGGTGTTGTGGTGGATCGATCGAGCATGGGAGAGATCCCAGTTGAGTTGATAACGAGATCGTTAAAATCCTGTGGCATCAGCAGAACTCTCGATGGAACTGAAGATGATGCGGTTTGGGATGATGAGGAAGAAGAAGCAGAAGACACAGAAGAGCGGATTGACAACGAGTTCGAGACAGACAGCGAAGCCGAAGACGACGAGTAGCTGAGCTCAGCCGAGCTTTCAAACAAACGGTTCTTTTGAGAGCCACCCCGGTTCTTTTTAGAACCAATAAATCAGATAAAGTCAGAAAAAGCTGGTTTTTGCCAAAACAAAGGGTCGCTTATTGAAAATACTGGTGTGCGAGTTGTGCTTTCTGATTTGTTATTAATGCCAGAAGGAATTTGATCATTTTGCATTATCTGAAACCTAAACCTCTCTACACCCTAACATCAGTATCTATATTCTCCATACTTTTCTCTGTACAATTCCTCTGGTACTGACAAGGAGAATTTGTTTAACAATCAAAGGTTCTTAAGTTGGTGATCATTTGCCTTATTCTCATTGTCTTAATGAATGACTCAGCAGTATTTTTGTAAGGAGAAATTAAATACTGGTCACTCCGAGGGTTCAAAGGGTTAAAAACATACATCTAAATAAAAAACTACTGAATACCTATAAATTCCCTTGTCATGAAAACCTTGCAATCCCATCAGAAATCTGAAAGAATCGTCCAAAAGCATCGATTTGAGGCTCGGTATCCTCACATGCTTCCTCTAACTCGCCCCAGGCTTGTCTCCGCACACTCGAAAAGGACCCGGAGGCTGAGAGACGGTCTGTAGGAGAAGAGAAGAGAAAGCTTCCTCCCCCTAACGAATTACTGCAGGACAATTAACATTAAAACAAATAAATTCATTTACTTCCTTGCTTCTTCTCCAGTTGTCCTTGGAGCGAGTTCATTCGTTTTCCTCACTTGGCTCATAAGCTTACCGGTTGTTCATTATTTCATATCTAACGGTGGAGAATATTTCTATTTTCATGGGGGGTAGTTTCTCACAGTTTCCACGCTAAGTGAATTGTCAGTTAAAAGGTGCTCAGTGCATGCATTAGAATAACGCTCCACAAATGAAAGTCGTGCGCTCGGTGTAATAGAAGTCCTACGTAAATCGGCCAACGATAAGCGGACAAAATTATTAGATAATTGATAATATTTAAAGGACCTTTTCCACTGGCGCTTACGTTTGGCCGTTCATCGTGCCTGGGGAAGAGAATGACTACGGAACCGACAGTCGAACAGAAATAGACAACCACATTTTATTGGCTGCCTGATATGACTGATATATGACGTATGTTGCTAAAAACTCAAAGGTTGAAAGGAGATGGTTAAAATTATTTCCTTAGCTGGGCACTGAAGGCTACAGGTTGTGGTAAGTACTATCTGTGAAAATAACTGATTCACTTGCATTAATTTGCCTTGACAGACTAAGGAAATCGTTTTAGCTTGGAGCATCGGTTTTAAAACTGCTTCAAACCTCGTTCAGTCATGAATGATGTGATAAAATGACTTGATGGAAGAGAATTCTGATATGTGCGATAGAGATTGAAAGAAATTCATAAACGGCAAAGTCGGTTTAACGTTTTTAACCCCACTTAGACCTACCAAATATTGACTAAATTCGACGAATTAACTGATA